AATATAGGTGTTATTAGTCACTCATAAATTACAATCAGTGAACAATTGGAAAAAAATTAAGAATGCATGTACATGTACACCTAATGTTTTAAAACAATTCAAAATATAGTTCATACACAAGATACTGAAAATTATAGAAGTTTTACTTATGATCCAATATCTAAGTAATTACAGGTATACACTATATAAAAGAATATACATTTTTTGGAGTCTGTCAGAGTTAGTGATGCCATTTTTGGACTGATGAAGTTTGTACTGGGAATCAAAGCAGATTAGCAGATTTTCCTTCATCAGATAAATGAAGAATGGCAAAAATGATTTTTTTCCATGCTCTCAAAAAGCAAAGATTCATCATCTGGTAGACTGACTTCTTGTCTTTTTTTATTTTTCTATAAAATCCAAAGATAATTATCTTTGTAACTTCACTATTCTAAGATAGTATTAAAACATTTAGTTCTGGACCTTAATTACATTATTACCTTTCATACATTTATTATTTTTGTTTGATTATTTTAACTTTTAAATTTTTGTTCATAATCTTCACTAGAATGCTATTTATAAACGAGTTATATTTAGACACATTGGAAAAAATGCAATACTCTATATCTAAGAAGATTAGTGCCACTTAGATCATGAAACATTAAACTAGTAGTTTGGTTTAATAACTCAGAATATGTTTTGTTGTCTGTTTTAAACAAGTGATCTATACTTATAAGGTGTGAAAAGCAACAACTGTGACATATGATTTAGCCTTGGGCAGGTGCATCTTTTTAAGTAGGAGACAACTGAGGTAACTGTTCTTTTGTTAAAGTGATAAATAGGAAAAAATATTAAAATTGTAGCAGAAAGTGGGGATTGTTACTGCAATAAATAGTAAACAAACAAGTGATACTAGTTGGATAGATTTTAAAACAATATTCAATTCCTACTTTGGTTGGCATTGTGATATGTATACCTAAATGAAGCAGTCTAAATATATATTGTTGGGTTGAAATGAACTTAAAAGATATTTAAGTACATGCATGATGTTTACCATTTATAAAAATCTGTATATATTTTTTAATTTATCAAAAACATCAAATGTGTATTGCCACAGACCAGTCAAGTAAGCTGGAGAAATCTAGTAGCAATAGTCCGAGCAGTCTAAGGGCTAGCACAGCTGATGTGATCAGGTAGGAAGGTAGTATACGAAAAAGTTGCTGTTTTAGAAATTTTTGAGTTGTTATACCAGAAACGTTAGCAACCTCTTTAGCATATTATTAGTATATATGTGCATAATATATAATAACCAATACTCTGAATGGTCGGATTTTTGCTTAGGTATTCAATAGGGTGGTTTTTGGCACATGAATTATTTGGAAACCTTGGTGATCTCTACTATTATGTACTACCATACTTAATAATTAACAGAGCAATATATTTAAGATGGAAAATAAAATACTACAATACTATTTTACACATTTGCATGCAAGCAAGTACCAGTTGCATTTAAGTAAAATATTTATATGTTAACACATATAAATTCTGCCTATTTGTTTAAGTTCCTTAGAGTATAACACTTTCTTCATTCTCATCCATAGTCTTGTGAATCTGATTATACTGCAATGAATTAAATGAGGTAAAACACTACAATAACCATTACTTCATATATTTTCATATCATACCCAATTATTTTAGATGTATTGTTTAGCTTTGTGGTACTGGTAACAGTAATTGTAGTGTTAATATTCTGACTCTGTAATATATTTAATATTATACAATGTTTCCTTGTCCATTTCACTTATTATGCATAAGCTTTTCCTGCTTTTTAGCAATGACCCTGAAATGATGGTTCTTTGAGATACAGGTTTTTTGTGAACAATGTCCTTCTCTTGTGTAGCTTTCCATAAACTGTCTAATGTATAACATCTATAACTTCTATACACATGCTTAAGCAAACCAAAGTCACAAAAGTATATTTAAAATGCCTCAGGGGTTGAATGGATTTACTGTAATTCCAGTTTCTTCAGCCATCTTTCCCATGAAAACAGCCATGGATTTCAATGCATAGCTGGAACCTTGTGAGGTTTTGGTGTGCAAGCCTCTGTCATCTTTAAATCCTTGCTTATTTTCTTAATAACTGTACCAGTAGATATGTCCAACCTCACCACAATGGTTATTTAAGTTAGAAGGTTATTTTTGACAACTTTAGTTTTAATTTTATGCATAAGAGCATTAGTCCAGATTAGGTCAGGATGTTGTCCTAAATGCTCTAAGCCATTTAACAATCTCACTAAACAAATATTGTTTTTCTGAGAGTGGTCACAAATCTCCCCTTCCAACAGCCAACAATCAAGTTATAGAAGTCATTTACATGCTCAATCAATATGATTTGCATTTAAGTGTGGAATAAATGCTTGTTTGTCATGTGATTGTAGTTCTAAAACCAAAATAAAATTTCCGAGAAAAAAAGTACCAACTTAGATGTATTTTCATGAACTGTAAATAACCTTCTGTAAAGATTAATATCCTACTGTTTGAATGTGTCTTAAAATACAACTGTTGTTAGGTGCCATAACCAGAGAACTCTAACTATTTAGACATTATCTTTACAAAGATCTTCATTTTAGATTTCACTTAACACTTAAAACTTCATAATTTACCTTTATCCTGCCATATTTGATATTCCATGATTAAAAATCCCCATGCATTTTAAGAATGTTTTAGGCATCTTCAAAGGTTGCTTGCATATTACTTCAAGTGCTACATTAAAACATTTGACTTTATTACAACCACTCTACCATAATTAAGATGTTTTCAGCTTTGCCTTTCTCTTTCTAGTACAGTTTTCATGTGTAACTAGTTTCAGCTTATTTCCCTGATTTTATCAAATAATTTGACATACCCTTTTGGTTTTATATTACCATAGTCAGTAAACTTCAATAAGTACCATAAACTCTGTGTAACATTCTTTATTTCAAATTATCTTAACCTGTGTTCTCTTTCAGTTTCTGCACTACAAGTATGTATAATTATTTCATCCTTCATTCCTGTGTTTCCCACGACTAAACTCCGTCTTATGTTTTCCTTTCTTATCAATAAACTATTTTTGATACTGTGGTCTTAAAATATAGTTATCTATTTAATCTTCAAGTTTAGTTATCTATTTAATCTTCAAGTTTAGCTATCTATTTTGCTTCCTTAACACATTAATGTTCCCTTTAAGATCAACCTTTTCAATCTTAATTTTACATAAGTCATGCCTTATTAACATCCACTTTGAACATGCACTTGTATAACTAGCATCACAATATTTGCATTTCATTTAGCAAACAGTTTTTTGGAATAATCGTTTCCAGCTTTACAAACATTTTTGATAAATGACATGGAACCCTTTGAAAATAGTAAACTTTGTTATTTTAAGAAGCTCCATTTTAAGATTATGCATGAGTAATATTGGATATATTTTACTGAGAATTTCAAACCATCTTCAACAAATAAAATTTTTTCTCAAAATCTTCAATTTTCAATAAAGCAACTCTTAATTATATTTGGATCATTTTTCAAAAAATATTTATGGCTAAGGTTTTCTGCTCTATCTCAGAAAAATATAAGCGATACACATTACAAAAAAGTGGAACTCTATAAATGAAAGATTAAAATGGTTAGAGCTTACATGAAATTTTTGAGTTTTACAGAAAATTAAAAAAGAACTACAAGTAAAAATAAAAACAAGATTCAGTTATTTTCTTAGCTTACATGACATTTCTGGGCTTCATCAGCCAGCACGTGCACAACAGAAGCAGGCCCTCCTCGGCCACCAAAGAGATCAATCTCATTCAATGCTTCCAAAGCAGCCTGACGTGAATAAAAAAAAAATGTAATAATTACAAAAGACATCTTACAACATTTTAAATGTTGATTTAGATACTATTTAATATATTGCAAATAATTATGTTTACCAAGTTATTTGGAACAGTTCTGAAGTTTTGGAATAAACATATTTGGAAAAGCATTTTATATTGATAATAACATGATCATTAACATTACTGTAAAACACAGTTACTGATTATACCTAAAAATTAAGCACTTATCATACAGTGTTAACAAACATAAATTAAAGTACTATATAAAAACATAAAATAAAATCAAAAACATGTAAAAAAGTGTAAGTTAAATGTTTTGTAAACCAAGTGAACTATGACTGGTCCAAGTTTGAATAAATATGGCCTTAACTGTAACTTTGTGACTTTGGATTATGTAAAATTAGTAATTAAATGATTCATAAGTTAAGTCAGGTAGAAACAAGAATTTTTGTGTAAGTACATTGTGGGAATTACAACTAGTAAAACCCATTTTACATATCACTGAAAAGTAAAGTAACTGAATATACACAGAACAGAGGCTCATCAGAGACAACAGATAGAGAATTTATTCAATTCTGCATGTGAACTAGACTTCACAAATGAATTTACAACATATGTACTTTATACATATAAAACCACATACTTGGTAATCTTCTCACTATAATTACACTTCAAATATAAATCAACAAACTGAAATAGTTCATAAACAATATTGTCAAAATATAGTAACCAATCAACCAATTAGCAGAATTTGAAATTTATTATATAAATTGCTAACATCTGGATGTCTATGAAGAAATTAAAAAGTTTAATTTATTTTTAAATAATTTCTCATCAAATTCTATACAAGATGAAAATTGGACCTGTTATAGTTAGAAGGTTATTCTCAGGTGCATTGATTATCAACAGGTAAGGGCAGTCTTACTAATAACTAAAGGTATATATACGAAAAGATTTACAGAGTTCAAATTGAAAATATTACTTGATTTAAGTTTCAGAAATGAGACTGAAGGAAGAATATTGTGTCTCTAGGTAGAGTTGGGTGATCTAACTGATTAATCTATATAATCTATTTACCCATGAGCAATGATTACATCAGTGTCACGAAAAGTAATTGAACAATTGAAAATTACAATTAAATTAATTGTCACAAAAATAGTCAACTTATCAAAATTAAAATTTCTGACTATTACTGATTTAGATTATTCCAACAGTTGATTACTCAAAATTCCAATTATATAAATCATCATGAAAATAATTAACTAATTTAAATTAAGATCTCCAATTGTTACTATTTTTGATATTCCAATTATCCAAGCAATCAAAATATTACAGTAGGTTTGCTTGTTATTAAGAATGAAGCTACATAATGGACTATCTGTGCTCTGCCAAATTTTAGTATTATAAGTTGTTGTTTTTCTTAGGTATGGCAAAGCTACTAAGGGTATCTGCTACCATAATCACTAATTTTGAACTGCTAACTTGAGAGAAAGCAACCAGCTGGAAGCAGTCACTGCCAACTTTTTTCCATCTTCTTCATCTTGAACTGCTTACTAAAGAGAAGGCAACTGGCTGGCACCAACTTTGTGGCGACACTAGTGGTATACACTTAGTCATAGTAACCACAGTAGAAAGTCCAAAGTCAATTGTCTTCTTCATATTTTTTCCCTTAACCTTTTTTTTGTGTGCAAAACCTTTGGACTGTGCAGTCTGTGCAAGAGAAGAATCAGCTTCTGTGTTTCATATAAGGAATTTGCGTGCTGGTGAATAGAGCTGAGAAGTTAGTTGTAATTGTTAATCAATTAATCAATAGTCTCATTAATTGATAACACTTGATTAATCATATGGTACAGTGTTCTTCACACCTTGGTAAATATAAGCAAATGAAAAAGTTGGTGGCAGTTACTGCCTCTCTTTGCCTTCCCTTTAGTCAGCAACTCCAGAAAAAAATGTTGGTGGCAAGTGCCTTTTCTCTCTTTAGTTAAAAAAATTTCCAGGATTTGTTCCGAGATTTCAGGATTTATGATTTTCAAATGGGATTCTTTGTGCCACTTTCAGAATCCTGGATATTCTATGTAGTTTAACAGCCTTTAGAACTTTGTCAGGATGTTGACAATTTCTATTAAAATATTACAGAATAAAAGCATGCAAACTATTTACATGGATGATAGAGGATCAAAAATAGAAGATCATGTATTTGTACCTTAAATTATACTTATAAACAAAAGTTACAGAGTATTTGTGTACACATATTAACCTGCTGATGCTGAGTCATGTGAATAAGTTGTTGAAAGTTAGCTTTGTCTGATACTAAGACTGATATTTTTTACATAGCAATACTAAAGTCTTAAGTTATTTTTATAATGGTTATACTAGAGCTTTTGAGTAATAATTGTAAGAAGTATTTATAAGTGCATTATTAAATGAAGTAAGATGGTATTCATGGTAGTACAGTAGCAGAAGTACAGTAGAGTTCGGAGAACTTTTGTTAAAGTGTAAGTAAATTTTATTTTTATGACAAGTTACGTAAAATAGCTTTGATTGTAATGTGAATTGCAGTCCTTTATTAAGGTTTTCAAGTGACAGTTTAAGTGTGTGAAGTTTCTGAGAAAATTAGGGATTACTTCTGTGAAATCTCAAACTAGCTTGACCCAAACCATTATTGAGAGGTGTAATCAGTTAAAGGTTACATGAAAAGTTTAACAACAGAGTAGGGACTATGTGAGATATCCACAGTCATTTCAATATGGTTAGATCCTTCTCCTCATAGTTCTTATCATCCTAAGGTGCTTAGAAGCTTGGAATTGAATTAATCACAGTGGAGTGCTCAATTAAGAAAATGTTAATAAAACATGATGATTTATACCATTAGAAATTGTAAATTAAAAATATTCTAGTTATACCATTTTACTGGGTGCTAAATGTCTTAGCAATAACCCCTGTCTTGAAACTTTAATACCAAAAATGAAGTTATGGGTAAAGTAAAAATTGAAAGTAACAATTTTTCAAATACAGACATACATCTATTCTTTATAAAAAAGCATGTTATTTTATGGGAAATATGATTCAGTATACCAATCAAAAGAAAGCCTAATCAGTAATATGTAAAGTGTAATAAAACAATCATTACAAAATTTAGTCTAAATAAGTAGATAAAAATATTTCCATCCTACCTTAACCATGCCTATTGAGCTGGCATTTAATTCCGGTAATCCATGATTAGTTTTGTCCCCTCTTTCCCAAATACCATAGTCCTAAAGAAAATGTAAGATACTCTAAATAACAAACACATAACTATCAAAAAAGAAAAGAGCTTAAGATCCACTATTACAAAACAAGATAACAACAGAAATGTCTGTACGGTATCATATCAATCCTGTGAAAAAGTTTATGTTGGTAAAACAGGAAGAAATTTAGATAAAAAACTCACAGTACATAAAAAGGATGTTAAAAATGTTGAAACAAGTGTTATTGTTTTACACATGAGAATCTTGCTCACCAAATTAACTGTATATCAGACAAAATAATGCATAAAACTATAAGTTACTTCAATAGAAGATTTGTGGAAAGTTCAGTAATCCAAAGATTGCCAAACTTTAACACATCTGATGGTCATTTTAAACCAAACCCCTTTCTTATGACTTGTGGTCTAAAGCAACTTGAAACTTTTAATATCAAATAAGGTGTGTGGGTGTTTAAGAAACAAAAGTTGAACTGAAGAGGACAAGTTAGAGTGCCAAAACTTGTTGTTCCATAACAATGGAACTTACCTTCATTTTAAATGACTTTACACAGTACTGTGTATTTACTACACATACTAAAATGTACCAGATAAAAAAAATTATGTGAAATAGGAAACATTTTCAAAAAACAAACAAACATCTACAACATACAACAGTCCAATAATGGAGAAAGACGTTTTTCAAAATGCAGTAACATCAATTTATTGATAATTAATTATTAAACTATCAAGTATACTAACTTTAAACAAAAATACGATATACATATCAAAGTTCCGCTTAAAACAACTGGAGTAAAGAGTTGAACCAGAAATACTTACAGGAACACAGTATGCAGATTCAATGTAAAAAACAAGGTTCTGAATAAATGCTACTTCATCTGTGTTGAAAATTATCTGCAATCCTGAATGCAAAATAAGCAAGAAAATTTATTGAGAATCAAGAGCAAATAAATATTTAGCAATATCTATGTGTATCAATAGTTATACAGTTTTACAAGTATATAGAAGACACACATCATGCAGAGAACCAAACTGACTAATTTTATGGTCCAAAAAAGCTCAAAATAATTCAAAGTGGTTACCACTTGTTATACATATACTTCAGGTTTGCAGGTTAATATAAAGAAGTGCAAGATTTTGATTGCCTCCTGTACATTTCATACTATAAGAATAGGCATAAGTTATATTATTGTAGCTTATAGACAACCTATTAAATTGAACCATTTACTTTGTTATAAGCAAAATACTGAAAACAAACAAGAAGGTATTACTCAATGTAAGGACTTAAAGATGTCACACAGTTAAAAACACAATAAGTTTGTATATATATTTAAGTGTCATAAAAATATAAGCTAAAATTAAGACCAAGTCATTTTTCGAGAATTTTTCATCATCCTGGCCCTGCAATCTCCCAAAGTCATTGCAAAAACCAGCCTTTGTGATCGTTTGGTTGAAAAATTGAGTCAGAAGCGAGTGACGTTACTCAAGGAAAATAAGGTCAGTCGATGTTGGCATCCTCTTTGTGCATGGAAAACTGTCAGTTTGTTATTGATTTTTTTTTCTGGACAAATTTCACTTTACAAATGTCATGAATACAGTTATTCATGAGTAAACAACTATGGTTTTTTGCTGTTTTGTTGCTCAACCAAGGACCTAGGATGGGACCACATTGTATTTGGAATTATGAGGAGATAGTGGACCACCTTCCATGAACAATATACGAAACCAACATTGATCAAAGAGAATGGCCATGAACCCCCCCAACCAGATAGCTTCATGTCAAATCTGAACAGGAATTACGAGTAGGCTACCTTGAAGGTTGGTGCCACTCCTACTGACATCTGGGAAAAACATCCAGGGACCCAAGAAGGAGGACCCCCAACTTTGCCCTCTTCTCCGAGAGTGGAGGAACACACACGAACACTCTGGAGGAAAAGCTTCTGTCCACTACCCCAGTGACTGGAAACTGGGGTGGTAAGGACTCTCAAGCTCCACCAGTAGAGTCTGGGGAGGTAATACACATTGGTGAGCCCTAAGGAACAGTGCTCTGGAAACTGTGCAATAGGTGAACCAAGTTCCCTACATTTTTAAAAGCAAATTGACCCCAATTTAATCAACCTGAAGATTGGCAGTAATGGGCAGAATCAACTTTAGCTTTACTCATGACAGTCCATGAGTGGCAGTCCATAATAATAATATAATACAATCTTGTAGGTGCCTAGATGGTCTTATGTAACACCCCATTTCGACAAAGCCTGTTGCAACCTATAGTAATTATAGTGAAAGTAGTTGCTAGTAAGGAATTGAAAAGAGAAAGCATACTTGCCTGAGCAACACTCACCACAGAGTAGGATCCAGTGAAAAATTAAAGAAATGCTGGAAAAAAAGTAGAGTATATGATTGAGAAAAATATTATCCTCTGGTAAAAATCTAACAAATTTGGTCAAATTAGCTACAGGGGTTAGCCAAAAACCCTCAAAAGAGGAAACTGCCAGATCATGTAAGTAATGAGATAGGAAAGTATTAGGAGTAATCCACATACCAGACTGCACAATGTCCTCCAGAGGGAAAATTCAAATGGGCGGCCATTGACAGAGATATGACAAATCTGGTGAGACATGACACACAAAAGATTCCTCTCCTGTAACGATAATCCATTATAGGCCTTGTGAATCAACTTACAAAGCCACCTCATTAGGGTAATTGGAGATGAATAATGGGAAAAAGAAGGATTCCCATGAATGAACAATCAATTCATACCACCTTGAAATGAGTTAGTTCAAGCTACATAACACTTGAGGCCCTAACAGGACATAACAAACATTCAGGACTTGGGCAGTCCTAAAGGTGAGAAATGCTGGCAAATAGATTGGTGATATGGATCTTTCCCCTTCCCTAGCTGTCAGAGTCTTGGACAGAAAGGACCTATTGTGGTCAATCAGGACAAATGTGGACTGATAAAGAGTCTGAAGCATGGGAATTGCAAACAATTCCAACCAATGATGTCCACAATCCAATAATAACAAAAAATACAATTTAAGAGAAAAGTGAAACAAAGAACACGAGTCTAAGGGCTCAAAAGGAGGATGAGACAATTCATGTAAAACAACTGTAAAATCCTAATTTGTTAAGTGAAAAGGTCATTTGGATCGAAAAATACGAAGGGTTTTGAATAGACCTGAAAGTACTAAGGATTCAAAAAATCTTCCAAAATTAGGAATACCGAAAATAGTGGATAAGGATGCCTTATATAAAGCAACTGTAAGAGAAGCAAGACCTCTCTAAAATACCCAAGTCATAAAATGGGATATGAGAGATAATTTAGGATGAAGAAGATTGAAATTCCTTTTAAGATACCACTGACTATAAGTATTCCATTTCCACAGATAAACAGCTGTGGTTGACCTACAGAGAGATTTAGTTAAATACAGAGAAATCGTAGAAGTTAAACCCTTAAGATGGGCAAAGGACCACATACATTCCCAGCATGAAAACCGAGTTTCTGAACACCTGGGTGGACAATGTCTGATCAAGGTTGTCTCCGATTGCCAATGTGGAAGATGAAGACATACCTGCAAATACCGAATAAGCGGAAACCACGTTTGAACTGGTCAATATAGTGCAACCAAGATAACTTGATAGCGAGTGGACCGAACTATAATCAGAGACCAGGGCAATAGCCAAGTTGGGGAAAGGCATACAGATGTAAACCCGTCCAGTTTTGACTGAACACATCTTCTGCCAATGCTTGAGGATGAGGTACTGGAAACCAAAACTGAGAGCAAGTCCACTGAAAAACCTTGTGATGCATCATCCATTCTGTTGGAAGAATCCAGTTGGATTGAGACAAGTGATCTGCAATTAAATTCATTACTCCTGAAACACAACATGCTAAAAGACTGATATGATAGGAATGAGCCTAGTAGAGAAAATCCAAGGTCTCAAGAATGTGTGTGAGCCTCCTTGACAAGAAATCTGAGATACCACTATTGAATTGTCAGAATGTAACATGACAATTATCCCCTTCAAGAGAGACATACCTTGAACGATTTAAATTCATTACTCCTGGAACACAACATGCTGAAAGACTGATATGATAGGAATGAGCCTAGTAGAGAAAATCCAAGGTCTCAAGAATGTGTGAGCCTCCTTGACAAGAAATCTGAGATACCACTATGGAATTGTCAGAATGTAACATGACAATTATTCCCTTCAAGAGAGACATACCTTGAACAGTTTAAATTCATTACTCCTGGAACACAACATGCTAAAAGACTGATATGATAGGAATGAGCCCAGTAGAGAAAATCCAAGGTATAAAAACAAGGTCTCAAGAATGTGTGCCTCCTTGACAAGAAATCTGAGATACCACTAAGGAATTGTCAGAATGTAACATGACAATTATTCCCTTCAGAGAGACATACCATGAACTTTTGCCCGATGTACTGCAAGGAGTTCGAGAACGTTGATATGGAGGGTAGACTCGACTTCAATCCAAATGCCCCAGAACTCATGACTTTTAAGATAAGTTCCCCATCCCTGAAGAGATGTGTCTGTGAACAGATGGATCTCGGCACGAAGTAGTGGAATGGGTACCCCAACAGTAGTGCTGTTACGATCCAACCATAATTTGCAATCGATGATGTTGCTCCTGAGTAATGAGACAGGATGATCCAAAGGATTGGAAAGCATGATTCATTGACCATGCAGTGATTACTGAAGAGACCTCATATTAGTTCCTTCCAAAATAATGAAAGGCTTGAGGGATTCTCACATCTCCAATGGAGAGAAAATCATCTGACACACCCAGAAGGATGAGATATTGCATTGGTGACAGCATATATTTCTTCAATCTGATAAGAAAGCCTGCTTTTGTGGCTTCTGAAAGAACAACCTGAAAATGTTGTTCTGCTATTTGTCGGAATGATGACAGAATAGTGTGTGTACAGTTGCAAGGAATATAGATGACAAGAAAAAACTCGAAGAATTATGCAGAAGGCATAAGGTACTGGCTGATGCAAGTCCAAAAAGTAGAGCCTTGAACTGCAGAACCTGACCTTTGTGCATAAATCTGAGAAACTTCCGGGAAGATTCTGCTATGGGAATATGGAGATAAGCATCAGTAACATCAAACTTGGTCATCCAGAGCCCTGGCATAAAGTGCCATCATAGGTTGAGAAAGGATTCCATAGTAAAATGAAGAGGATTTGAAATTGGTTAAGTGAAACAGATAGATGATTTGATGTCAATCTTTAGTCTTCTTGAGTACAACAAATAAATGGGAATAAAATTCCCAGAAGAACTGGATCAACTCTCTACTTCTGTCATTTTGACTAACAACTCTCTTATAGCCTGGGAATGAAGCTCCACTCCTCGTGAATATATTGTAGGTGACAAGGCAACTGGTTGTGCTAATAAAGGTGAGGGGTGATGTAAATTGAATGACCAACCCTGAATTCAGATCATGTAAACATAGTCTTACTGCTCCCCCACCCATGGGATAGACATCGACGCTGTTGTCGACAGTCCATCTGAGCCGAAAATCCTCAAGAATACAGACAGACCTAGAATCTGAAGCAGGGGGGTCAGGAAAAACCAAGAGCTGACTCTCCCAAATTAGTGCCAGAAAGGCAAAAAGTCAGCAACAATAAAGAAGAATGTAAACAAACTGAATCAAATCTTGATTCTAACATCTCTAGAACTCCAGCAAACAACCTGGAATGGAGAAAAAAAGCTTCCCCTAACTCCCAGAGGGCAGAAGACAGTAAATGAACACTTTTTAACAAAGAATCTCTACCCAATAAATTTCAACAACAAACCAGCCAGGAAACCAGAGAAAGAACTGAAGAAGATAATCTGACTGAGTTAGTCATCAGCAAAATCTCCAACTTGTCCTGAAACTGCTGAGGGGAACATCAGAAGGCTTGCAACAAAAGTTTAATTGAAGATAAATACCTCAGGACAGTCGTGAGAGTAAGATGAATCTGAGAAAATTGTGATATGTTTAACCCTATCACCCCAGGTATTCTTTACTGCGCATGACACAAGGTTTTAATGTCTTACATGCAAAATTTTATTATACTACTTTCTGTTTATGTTATACCAATTAGAATAGCATAAAATCTTAGCTAATAATCCATATTCTAATAGTTTAAGTTCTTAATTCTCAAAAGCAATATTTTAAAAAAATCCTGAACTTCCACTAGTATCACCCATGTGACACATTTTGTCTCATCATCCCAGTTTTATCCATCACCCCTTGAAAATGTACGAAATTAAACGTAAAATACTTTCTATAAAATCATTATTGTTCAGACAAACCACACTTTTTAGTCTTCAATTTTGTTTGGTTACAGAGCTAACAAATACAAAATCAGACCCCTCCTGCTACACCCACCTGTCACATCCTCTCTTTCACAATTCATTGTTAGCTCTCTCTTATGTTTCATTATATATTACCTAATAGAAAGTCAAGGTTTTAATCTATCAAATGATGTATTGTATAATGATGTGTTCTGAACAGAATATTGTCAATTTCACTCAGAGTACAAGATTGGTCCCATGTGCAAGTTAATGGCTAGTTTGGATGAATTTGTAATGGCTCTTGTCATATAGTTAGAAAGCCAGACAAATTTTGAGAGTTAGGGGAAATTGCCTACTTTTTGTATGTTATTAGTCTATGTTCTTTAGTGCATTATTTAATTAAATAAAATTATTAGATTCATTATTATTAGTACTATAAAAAGTTAGGGTTAACTCTCTTCAAAACCCAATGGCAAGAAAAAAAATTAGTTAAGTATTTTATTTTTTGTTTTTCATATTTATTCTTTACTTATTATTATAAAAGTAACTAAAACCTAAAAAATATGGATCTTTTTAAGTTATTTATTAGATTAGGCAAAATAAGTAATAATAATAATAATATAATTAAAATGGTTCACGAGGCATGCATCGAGCAACTCATGGGTAATGTAATTTAATAATGTAATGTGAGTTGCATATTCTCCGAGTGATTTACAACTTTTTATGGCATGGAAAGTAGTTAGACACAGTTCAAAGGGCAATAAAAAATTAAAATTTAATTATAAATAGATGTATAATGTTACGAACTTAGAGTTACTTAGGATAAACAAACGTAGTTTCATGTAACAATTTGAAGTCATTCTAGAAAGAAAAAAAAAAGTTAATTTAGGTTTATTTCGATTTCTTTTTTGGTGGTTACGAGGTCAGTCGAATTGACCGAGATAGGGTAGAGAAAATAACATATAAACTATGAAAAAAACGTTTGAAATTCATATAGGAGGTTTCAGGGATTACACAAAGGAAATTTGAGATAAGGAAAAGTATTTCAAATTTTAACATGAAAATTATTTTGCACATGGACCATTCAAAACAAATACTCAATATATTCATTGACAGATCTTTATTTTCCTTTATTAAAAATACTTCACTAAGAAATATTACTTTTGTAAGTGAAAGACTTGTAATATTAACTGAAAAACTGCCAAATTTTGTGACGATATACCCATTATATTTAGATTTATAAGTATTAAATCTATAAAGACTTTAAGTGAGTACAAAAAGGTCACGAGGTCGGTCCAATAGACCAAGCTCATATTGAGAGTGTTAAAGTAAACACAGGTTCCATTCAAGACAACCCACAGGTCCAAAAAGGGAGTCCATTCATTGAGAATTTAATATACCTCCTCCTGGTGATGATAAGCCAAAGCATATTGTTCTAATAAACGTGGGGGACCCATCATAGCTATCTCATCACGTAACTGAGTGGCAAATCTCCCAGCATGAACAGTAATATCAGAAGGAGGAAAAACCAAGTAGTCATTTGCTGTCCTTGCTGCCAACAAGGAAGGGGGAAAGTCAAATGCAATATTAGAAACCCCCAAAACCTCACAAACACGAGTAACTAACTAAAGAAAAGGGGCTGGAGGTGGCTGATCAAAATGATCCTCTGTAGAGGCCGACCTAGTAAAAGAAGGAGCCAGAAAAAATGAGTCTACATTCTCCCCAGCTGGTCCGGGTCATTTGCAAAAGCTACCTCACAACCACCCAGATAGACACCCTCAGTCCGCACATATGTGTCCATCTCACCATGGATCATATCACAGACAGCCTCGACTGAGAGTGACCCCTCCCCTGGTCACTGACAAATACTAGAGAACAGAGATGGAAGAGGAGAGAGTTGAATGGCCTCCATAATAGAAACATTAATTCAGGAAGTCATACAATTTGGGTTTGTGGGTTTTTTTGTTTTTTTTATTATTATTATTAAAGTAATTTATAAATATATGAAGATATAACCATAGTAATGCAAACCACCTTCAAAGTTGCAAATTGTGAATAATCCCAACACTCCTGTTTATAGAAACAAATGCTGAATGCTTTGTCGAGAAAAAGTGATTACATTATCTGAATGAGGTGCTTATATATAGTATCTAGATAGAGGGCACATTGAAGTTGGTGGAGAATTTTGCAAATTAGAATTTGCCAAGGGCATTCGAGTGGGGTATAAAAGACTGGAGCAAGTGTTTTCAATGCTTGGATAGGCAAATAGTTGAAACCCTAGAGATCGAGAAATAGCTATAGTGTTAGCAGAGGTAAGTATGTTTTGGAATTATAACATGAATATTGAAGAATTTTAAAGTAATGTTATAGACAAAGACCAACTGAAAATTTGAGTCTTGTTATTACCACTTTGAAGTAATTTCCAATTTGCTTTGAAATTGAAAACAAGTTACAATTTATTATATCATTAACATTAATCACCATTTGCTTTGCACACAAGATGAGTCAAATACTTAAGGCCATTAGACAAAAAAGCTCTGCTGTGATACAAACCTGATGCAGTCATCTGAGCAAGTGTTAGTAGGTAAAGGGAAGTCGCATCAAGTTGGAGATGTCCCCACTCTTTGTCTCCTACAACTGTAGCTCCACTAGTAGAGCTGTATTTGGCATGGAAACAGTCTGTGGTTGCTTGAGTTTCCTTAAAACGTTCCAGTTTCTCTTTCTGCTTCATCATGGACATCAGCAACCCTCTCATCAGCTTCACACAACTCTAACAGAATCATAAAACAATTAATAAAGAATGCAATTTTGTACAATAACCTTCTCTTTACATTCATATAACACAAATTTCAGAAAAATGTTTACGTAAACAAAAACTTTAATTTATCATTTCCAATATCATTTTTTCAACATTTACTAGAGCATCTTCATTTGATTCACTCAAAGATCTATCACTCCTTTCTATGCTATCTCCAGTACAAGATACACCCTAAACAAACATGTCAATATACCTACTTTGTGAATCCCTAATTGCAAAATCCTCAGAATCCTTTCACTCCCTGTATTTCTAAAGAGTCAAAAGCTCAAACATTTAAAAATTGTTATCAATATAAAAATATATATTCTTTTCTGTCCTTAGACCTTCCATCATTTTACACAAAACAAACATCAAAATATTTCTCCTCTTCCTAATCAATCATAACCTTAACTTATCTCCTTTTCTTTGTCTAACTTGCTTTTTTTCTCTCCTAATTTCTGTGATTCCACAATAAGTAAGCCGCTACAAGTGTCTGTTTCAGTTTCTTGGAAACTACAATTTAATCCACTATTTTCAGAACCTTTCACTCTTTACATTTACATTTATGGGAACAGAAAATTTTTCCAAGTTCGTCAACACATGCACAATCATCACTACTAGTAGATCTGTGAGATATAGAATTTTGCAGGCACATGAATATATTTAAAAAGATGACTGGAGTATGAAACAAAACAAAGAAGCACTAGATGAACCAAATCAACATTTTCTTTTTCTAATGTTTTTGCAAGACTTTTCTGTACTGGTTCTGTTCTAGCTAAAACTGCCAATACAGATTTCTTTAACTCAATGATATGAATATGGAACTATCCCACCCATGCATTTATCACACCAAATAAATTATCACTACTTAATCAACAATGAACAAGAAAACAATTAAAGAACTTAGAAATATCATAAATCCTAATTATTGAAAAAACAAAAAACTAGAATTCTATAAAGCAAAGAAAAAAATTCTAATCTGTTAACAATGCAAATTTTTAAAATACCACAAAGTTAAACCTTGCAAGCATAAAACGTTGAAAACTACGAAAAAAATATTAATTATTCAAAAAATCTTAAATTTCAGAGAAATAAATAAATTTATTTTACTTAAAACTTAAACAGGGGTAAGATCATGCATTGCATTAAACAGAAAGAATAACAACAAAAACAGGACAAATTATATGTATAAAAACTAAAAAGTATGCCACTAAAGAGTAAGCCCTACTTTATCAGGAACCAAGAGTGCTTACAAAACTAATAAAAAAAAGGTGACAGAACACAAATAACAACAGAGGACAATCTAGAAAAAAATCAGAATATCAAGAGAGAAACATTTGAATTATTCAATAAACAAAACTTATCCACAAGTGGTTAAGAGACTAATAAAAAAAAGGGTTGCAAACAACATATTTTTGCCAAAAAATTTTTAAAGGGTAAAAAAATTAGAATACTGTAATCTTAATGTGAAAAATAATTATGATTAGACTCAAACAGCTAAAGCCAAAGAAAGATGTAATTCCAAATGGGACTTGTATAACAAAGTCGGTGCTACTATAGCTTGAGGTCTACCGCCATATGTCGCCTACCCAGGTCTATCAAACATGTATAAAAATGTATCAAATTAAGTGTTTATCGCTAAAATAAAT